TTGACTTGCTTCATCCTCAGAAAAGCCTGCACTGCAATCTGAAGGATGTCTTGCATTTCGGAAGGGTTCTCCCCAAAGATGTTGATCAGAGTCATGTTGCCAATGCCAATGACAAAGGTGGCCAGCTCGTTGTCATGATTCAGTGAGTGCTTATTGGCCATCTCTATGGCACGAAGACCTTCCGTGTCCACAACCAGCATGTAATCAAAGTTCACATCCTGCTGCAGTTCCTCGTCCACTTTAACGAGCTGCATAAAAGCTCCCCGGGTGCATCTGCCGGCACTGACATTGAACTGGAGACCGAACATAGCATTCAGTAAGGTTGACTTCCCTGTGCTCTGGATGCCAAGCACGGAGAGGACAAAGACTCGCTTGTCACCTAACTTCTCAATTAACCTGTCAAAGATTGCTGCAACCCATTGTAAGGGTACATAAGAAACATCACCATCCATCAGCTCAATGGGATGCCCTGAAAGCATCAGATCAGCTGCAATTTCAGGTAGTTTGAGAATACATACATCTTTGGAGTTTGTTGATTCAAGAGCTTCGTAAATCTGCCCTACCTCTCTCAAAATATGCTCAAGGCCAACGGATGAATCATTGATTTCATTGGAAAGGGAATCTAACCTTTTCATCATTACAGTTTTGGGATTGTTTTCTTCATTGCTTTTCTTTATTGCCCGGGTTTGAGACCATAACTGATGATACTCTCTCTTCAGTCCATCAAGGCGATCGGAGGACAGGTCATCCATGAATATCTTCATCCACTGCAGGAAATATTTCTTGGTGTTGACTGGCTGTGACTGGAGAAAGCCAAGGAATGATTCCATCAGCTGATTGAGGGGAAATGCTTTGTCCAGTTGCTTTTTTCTTATTGCAGCTTTGTCACATTCAATTTGACTCCGATGATGTTCTATGCTCTTGTTCCTCTTCTCTTGTAAGCAAGTGAGTTCTTTATCCTTTTTACACCAATTGTGCCACAGTTTTCCTTGAAGAGGCAGTAGCTTTGATTTGATCTCAGTCAGCTGCTCTCCCTTCAGCAGCTTCACCAGCTCGTTTGCCTTTTCTTTGGCTATCACACATGCTTCTGCATCTTCATCGACCAGGAAGCCGTGCTGGCGAGCTGTGCCCAGACACATATCGAGGCTAGAGAGTGTGCTTGAGCCCTCCAGGAGATCTCGGATTGTTTTTGTCAGCTCGCCCATTAATTCTGCTTCGTTCCTGTTCTTGATACCTATTCTTATGTTCTGGCTAGATCGGCCAGCTGCAATGTTCTCTTTCTCAGTGAAAAGACAAACCAAGGGCCTCTGAGACTGCCACAGGTCCTGTAAAATTTTCCTGCCTTTCTTATCACCCTGATCAGTCTCAGAAACGAGAACCATGTTCACAGCAGAGATCTCCTGCAAGAAGCCCAGCTGTGTCTCGTGATCCCTGGCATCTCCATGCAGGTTACAGAAAGCAACACAGCTGTCAAAACTGTCATCGTTGCTACCACGGGGACAGTACCAGGAGATCTCCACCACACCTTTCATCAGCAAGCAATCCTTGGTGCTGCCTTTGCAATGCCGATGGAAAAACGTGTCGTGTTTTTGTTTGCTCAGCAGAGCGTTCAGGAGCTGAGACTTGGAAGAGGAAGGAGAGCTGCCGATGCGTATGAAGGACACGATGGGTGTCTCTGCCTGATAAATGAGTGTGTTTGTGTAGCTGCTACATTTCATTGTCTCTCCCGATTTTGCTGTTCCTTTCCAGCTCTTTTTGATTTGGCTGAGGGACCAGAGAGGGAACTCAATCTCTGAAGTGCATGGGTTGGGGATCAGGAGGGGGAGTGCAAACTGGCAGAAGGCAAGCTTTGATGCAATGTACTGCCTCATGAAATCATTGGCACAATGAAAAATGGCCATCTGGAGGTCCATAGGGTGCACGTGGCTCTCCCTAGTTGCAGATTCAGGGGCTCCTTCATCCAAATCACTGAAAAAGTCATCAAAGGAATCAGAGGGCTCTTCCTCTGTGGCTTTGGGTGCAGGAGTGACTTCTGGCTTACTCTCATCCTTGCAAGTCAGGTACCTCACGCTGTAGTCCACACACAATAGCTTTTGAAGGAAGTAAAATGGGAGTTCACTCTCCTTGCTGGGCTGGCTGTCACGTACAGATGTCTTGTGTATGATGTGGAAGTCTTCCAACCCCATTTTTCTTGGATAGTATCTTTCTAGCCCAAGGCGCTTAAGTAAGTTGAGGAACTCTGGGTTTGCACTGGCTTGATTACTTTTGGATTTGCTGTCATCTGACTGGAGTTTGCATGGACTGCAAGGCGGTATTCCTTGCAAAGTCTCTTCCATGTCTTTGATTATGCTGTGTTTCTTCAGATCAACAGAGGTGTTCTCCAATTGCCCTCTGATGTAGGATTGCAAGTCTCTTTCCAGCCCCTCCCAGTCTCTGAAGGCATTCTGTCTCTTGAGGAGATCTTCTATCTGTGCACACCATGAGTTCTTCATCTTCTCTTCCATGAACACTAAGCGGTCACTCTTCTGCTCAGGGGACACCTCACTGCTTTCAGATGTTATGGTGAGGCCTGTGAAGAGCAGGAAGGCCTGGGCTCTGTAAACATCCTGCTCCTTCAGGCTCTGATACTCATCATATGCTGTTTGCATTTCCTTGGCCATGAAGTGAATTTCTGGACAACCAAGGAGGTACTGAAAAGTGCTGCTTTCTACTTGGTATCCTATTGCGGTTGTAACTAAGAGCACTAAGAGTTCTGTGTCTTTCTCTGCCCTTTCCTTCAAATACTGGAGCAAAGAATAAACAGCCAGGCTTACAGTCAGGGTGGCTTTGATCTTTGCTTCATGAATGGCAGATACAGAGGTGGCTGGGGAGTAGGTGACTTCCTGAATGTGGTCCTTCATTTGCAGCAGTGTCTTGATGAGATCCTGAATCTCAGAAATATTGGGAGTTTTGGGAAACGTGTGCTCAGTGTTGAAAATCCATTGCATAATGAAGGAAGCCCTAGGGAAGTTCTTAACAGAATAGATGTGAGGATCCAGCAGGCACTGCATCAGAGATTTCATGTAGGTGATGTTTTCTGGAGGCGATTTTTGGCAAAACAGAACGGTATTCACCAGGAACTCCTGCAATGCCTTATGTGTCAGGCATACATTGATCCAGACACTGGGATTTTTTGTTTTTTCATTCAGAGCCTTTTTGAAATCTGTCAACGTGAGCAGGTTCCTTTCATCCCCAGTGATCTCCCAGGTCTGCATGTGCTCCAGAAATGCTCTGGCCTCTTCCACAGCACTGGCCAGTTCCTCTCTGAACACTGTGCCAACACTGTGATTTGTGAGTGCTTCATATGCAGCCCTGAGGCTGCTGCTCATCTGATAGGTGGATTTAAAATCACTGCTGTGGTTGGACAGGATTATGTCCCACACTGGGATCAGCTGAAAGCCCCTGTCGATAACACACCAGGTTGTGTTACTCGCCACAAGCCCACACGTCCACTGGGCAAGGCAATCTGTCTCTGATGGACCCCCTGTGTTGGTCACAGAGAGCTGAATCGCTGTGTGGCTGCTGCCTCTATCGCTTCTCCCAAGTGATGCTTGTGAGCTGGACTTTGAAACTTCCACATTCACTCCCACACTGCCAGCAAAGCTGCTGAAGCTTGCCCTGACAAAGCAGTTTAGTGCTTCAGATGTTTGTTGCTTCATCTCTTCCCTTTGCTCTTCCCTGAATCCTTCGGAAGATGCTTTCCACCAGAATATGCCCCCAAAGTGGAGGGGTCCCTGGTTGAGGTGGGACCCAAACCTGCTGAAGAAGCTGGCACACCTGTTCTTCAGCATGTTGAGCCTGTCTGCCTCCTGGGTGATGCTCAGAAGCTCCTCGATGCGTTGCAGCTCCCTCAGGGCCCCATCTGAGAGGCGAAGCTGGTCCTTTTGGAAGTAGCAGGAGGCCAGAGGGGTGTACTGGTACTTGGTGGTACAAATGTATGTCTGCTCTGAATGTGAGTGGTGAGTGTCTTCCTTGTGTGAGGAGCTGCTGTAATCTTCACCTTTTACAGCACTGAACCCCCAGATCCTGGCTTTGGCAGAAACGCTTAGGCTGAAGCCCAGCTGCTCCATGGACTTGGTGAAACTGGCTTCTGCTGCAGAGGAGGAGAACTCCTTCCTCTCAAGCAATGATCCTTGCTCCGGGCCAGCGAGCTTGAAACCCGTGGGGACTCTGATGAGCTGCTCTCGTTTTGCCAGCACATCTGCCAGGCTGTTGGTTCGGTAAATGCCCTGCAGAGCCAGGCCTCCTGATGCCCGTCTCAGGACCTCCTCGTCAGAGACATTCTCACTCCTGCCCAAGGACATCTCCTGCTGCTCCAGTTGCTTCTGGATGCTTGCAGGCACATCTGCCAAGGCCTTCTCTGGTGGTGCCCAGTACTCCCTGGGAATGTCCATGGCTTGCCACAGTGCCTCCTCTTTCTGTGTTATCATCTTCTTGCTGTGGCTGCGGCTGCGATGCATGGCTTGCTTGGCTTCTTCTTGCCTCTGCTTCATCATCTCCAGGCGCTGCTTCTGCTGCTCCTCAACAGTTGCTTTGTTGTCTGTAATTTGGAGAAGCTTTTGGAGTGCCATTTTCTCCCAGGGGTACCTTACCTCACTCTCCAGCTTCAAATAGTCTTCATATTGGAGATGTTTCAAAGCTTCTTTAGATTTCACACCCAATACCTTCCACAACATGGGAAGCCAGTATTCTTCATCCAGTCCTTCTCTCTGAAATCTTTCTGCCAGCTGTTGCTTAGCAAGATTTGCCTTTTCCAAATCCTCTGCTCTCTTCTCCTGGGTCTCCATGGCTGTGGAAGAGGTGAACAGACTTCAGTTAGAGGCACATTAGAAGAGGCCACCACTTTTTCATGGTAGAGGCCTTTCCACAGTTCCAGGAATTCTTCCCACCCTGCTGCTCAAACCCAACTTTGGGCACCCCAGAAACACACAGATAAGGACAGACACACAGACACACTACAGACTTGGCTACACAACCAACCATAGACAGTGAGCTACCTTCAGCAGCACCCATGTGTGTCCACCAGACTGGTCTCACCTGTCACTGGCTCTCCTTTCTTGCAGCACACAGACATGAGGTAGAGAGTGGGATTGCACAGGGACAGATAGGAAAGAATTTAATGAGGAGGCAGGACAGAATGCAGTGACCAAGGCTTGCTCTGACAAGTGATCTGCCACTCATCTCATTACAGCAGCTCCTTTTGTATCCTTTTCTGCCTTTTCTCAGTTTTGTTCCCCTACTACTTTCCTTCAACATCATTCCACTTGCTGTCCTCAAATATCTCGATGTATTCTGTTCCCTTTGGTTAATCCAAGTTGACCTTCTCCAGAGCAGAGCCTAGAGTATTCTGTTACCTATGAAGTAGCCATTGGAGACTTTGAGCCATCAGCATTTTCTCTGCTAACCCCCGTCCATGCAGTCATTGTCCCTGTGCGGTTTAGTTGATCACTGCCCCTTGATCATTGCCTTGACACTGGAATGGTCCTTGATGGGATACTGGCAAGGAAGTGAGGACTCTCACTGTCCACATACCATTTCAGTACTGTCATACAGAGCTGATAATTGTCTCTGTCTCTACTCAGATGGCTACTGAGATTTAGTCAGTGCACAAAACATTCCTGTGCTATCAGCTCTCATATCACCAACAACATGTTACGGCTCTTCCATCTCAGGAATTGATGCCAAGCCCTTGCTACTGCGCTATTTTGACTCTTGCAGAGCCTTTGTGCTCTCTTTTTCTCCAGGGAAAATTTAAAGAAGAAAAGATTTAAGGAAGAACACCAAATAGATTTGCAGTGAGTTCTCTCACCTCCCAGCAGGTGCTCTTGGTGGTGATGCTTGGCTTTCCAGAGGACGCAGGGCACGCGGCCCAAGCAAGGCAGCACACAGTCACTTGTCAGGCCTGGTAGACCGGGCAGGGTTGTAGAGAAGAAGCTGGGGACCACTCCAAGAATTCAGAAGGAAAAACACAGGGAAAGGTCCAGAATCCTAAAGGAAAAAAAAAAAAAGACACTGATGGGAGGGCAGCCATGAATGCAGAAGATTCGTATTGAGAAAACAATAAAGGCCAGCCCTTCTCCTGCCCCAGTGGGACCTGCCCAGGACAATGGTGGAAGTGCCCTGAGCTGTAGGAATATAAATACCGCTGGGGTGGTGTTGGAGGAGCACCATGTTCAGAGAATGGAGGGCTTGCCGGGGTATGGGAGGGAGCAGTGGGACCCAGGACTATCTGAAGCACTGTGAACCCTGCTGGCTCTTTGTCATCGACACCACAAGCATGCTGGGAGCTCCCAGGATGCTGGTTCTTGCCAAGAGGTTACAAAGCGTCACCTCTCACAGCCTCCTTTCCCAGACCTTTCCCAGACCTTCGGAAAAGTCTGGAAGCCAACTTGATGTTTAATAATCAAATTCATTCATTTCAGAAAGCAGGAGAGCCCTAGAAGCACTTTCAGTTTCACAAGGTCCTGAGCCTCATCCACAAACAACAGCTCTAATTTCTAAAGCAGAGTAGCCAGGCAAGGAATATCTCTTTGCTTAGTTTAGGCCAACTGCCTGATGGTGCCCCTCAGCCTGAATAGGTGCCCTCACCAATAGGTGAGCACACGATTGCCTGGAATGGTGCAAGAGAGATAAGGCTACATTCCTCAGCAATCCTACCACAGCCTGTCCTGGTGGAAGCTGCCGCCCTGCTGCCCATGTCTGCCCCGGCTGCCCACAGCCATGAGTTCCCTCACACCGCGCAGCTCAGGGCTGGAGCAGTGCCGCACAGAGGCTTCCCACAGTGCTGCCACCAACACGGAGCTGCCACCAACACGGAGCTGCCACCAACAAGGGCTGGGTGCGGCCTGGAGGATGGAGGCTACCAGGAAGGGCCGGGAGATGACAAGAAGGGGGACCCCGAGGAAATGCGGCTCACTGATGGAGGAGGTGCTGCTCCTTGCCAAAAGGACTGTGAGGGTTAGGGAAAAAAACACATCTCATACCATTCAGCCGCAGACCCTCAAAACAGCACAGAGCATGCAGACCTTAAATGATCTGCAAAATTATTAGGAGGCATCATTTGGTTGCGACTGCTTCTGGGTATTACTTCTCAAGAGCTACACCCTCTATTCCAACTACTCAAAGGAGACTCAGATCTAACCTCTAAACAACAATTAACACCAAAAGGACTACTTAGACTTAGTTATATCATCATTGCAACATCAATACAGCCATCCTGTTTGTTTATCACTCCTGGTATCTCTTATAACAATATCAAACTCTGATAGCCATACAGCTTGTTATGTCAGTGGGATAGCTCAAGAAAAGATCCTTTCATCATCCTCAAATGGATATTCTTACCACACCAATTTTCAAAAACCATTACATCATGAGTGGAGATGTTTGCAATGCTAATACAGCAAGGTCAACATCATCTCCAAGCTTTATAAGCTTCTGACCCTGATTGCATTTACATACCCACTACTAAAAAGGATTTAGATTGGATGCTTGTGTATTTACTCACATTGCAAACTGCTGTGGCTGACAAATTGGACAAACTTCCAATCACTCCCTGAAACATCAGTTACTGCATGATTTGAGTGATCTATCCCTTACTATGAACATTTTGATTCTGCATGTTCCACTACCTGATGCTGTTACTGAATTTTCAGATGCTCTGGTGTACGATGTACGACGTGCATATTGTCAATGGGTCACCTCAAATTGTAGAACTTGCTGCGGTGGCTTGAACTTTTGAAATGTTTCCAGATCAAAACCTTAATACAGCAACTGACTCTTTGTATGTTACAGGTATCATTCAGCAGATTGAAGGATCTTTTCTTAAGGAAGTCGACAACCCTGCCTTGTTTGCACCACTCAAGTGAGTTTTTCATTATGTCTCTCACAGAATCACAGAATCACAGAATCGTAGGGGTTGGAAGGGACCTCCAGAGATCATCGAGTCCAACCCCCCTGCCAAAGCAGGTTCCCTACACCAGGTCACACAGGTAGGTGTCCAGGCGGGTCTTGAATATCTCCAGAGAAGGAGACTCCACAACCTCCCTGGGCAGCCTGTTCCAGTGCTCCGTCACCCTCACCGTAAAGAAGTTCTTGCGCACATTGGTGCGGAACTTCCTATGCTCCAGCTTCTGGCCATTTCCCCTTGTCCTGTCTCCGCACACTGCTGAAAACAGTCTGGCCTCTCCACTTTGCCCCCCACACCTTAGATATTTATAGACCTGGATCAGGTCCCCTCTCAGTCT